CACTCTATTATTTGAAAGCCTCTGGCCTCTTCCCAGAGATGATCCTGAGATAAAAAGCCATAGCCTAACATGGTTTCAAGGGCCTCCCTTGACCTACGAGATCTCCTCTTGGCTACATCCCTCTTCATCTTCTCTACCCAGGAACCCGCTACCCCACAGCCATCCAGGTGTTCTCTCATTTCCTCAAGGAGAAGCCTTGCTTCATTCTTTCTTGTTTTAGCCCCTGGTGCATGCTTCTTCTGCTGCTTAGAGCAACCCTAGTCTCTTCTCCCATTTGCGAGGCTAACAGCATCCCTCTGGGCTTAGCGAAGCTGTTACCTATCTATGCTCTTCCCACCACACTGGAGGTGCCTGACCTTGGTACTCCTCTGCTGTCCCTTCCTTCTCACAGCACTGACTCTACTTCTGAGTTCTCTCATTCGCCCACTGTTCTCCCCTCTAGACTTATAGCTTGGGGTGTCAAGGGCATCTCTATATTCTTCATGGTTAGGTTTCCCTCTAGCACTCTTAAATACCATCAGAGGAAAATGGGAAGCCATGTTTGCCTCTGCATTTTAAGGTATTTGGCAAAGTCAGACAAAAGATGACATTGGCCTCAAAATGAAGCCATTTATTTTTGGACTTCAGAAGCCAAGATTGAAATACCTGGGACTCCTGTTTTTCCTGTGGCCACTTTGAAAGCTGGAAGGAACCAACTGTCTGTGTTCCTAACTAACCATGCCCAGCAGGTCTGTTTGTCCTGAAGGGACTAATTATACTTCGCCGCAGCAGTGATTTGACCACGGAACTCTCTGTACCATCAACAAACAGAGAAGACCAAATATTCCTAGTCTAAGATGGGTTTGCATGGGGCTGGCACACCTCCCAGGGCTTGTGGTGCCATGATGTCCTTTGCAGACAATGGAAAGGTGGGATTTGTCTGTGCCGTTAGAGTGGATGAGAGATGTTTTTGTATTTAAGCATTGCACATTTTTTCACCCAAAATATTAATCAGCTGCGATGCTTTTGAATGTGTTGATCAATTTTTGGCATTTATCCATTATTTGGAGGAAATCCAAAGCTAGACCTGAACTGAATCCTTGTGTGCTAAAATGGCTATTTGTGACCCAATCACTGAAATATATTTATTTTGAGAGTTTCAGGTAATAAAAGTTTTTTTTTTTTCCTTCGTGTAGTTACCTCTCTCTCTCTCTCTCTCTTACTCTCTCTCTCGCTCTCTCTCTTGCTCTCGCTCTCGCTCTCAAACTCTCTTTCATGATATAAAGCAAGTTTTTTGTTGTTGTTTGTTTTTGTTTTAAAATGGTGCCTATCAGGTGGTAATCTGCCAGTTAGTCAAAGACGTAATAAGAAACTGGCATTTGGATTTGATTCAATTCCATTAGGACAGATTTCAATTTTTGTGATACAGGGGCTATTATCCTGGCAGTTGTAAGGGATTTTTGTGCTGGTAGGCCAAGCTGACAAAGGCTACACTGTGCACATCTAGAATGGAGCACTTTCAAACTGCAATTTAGGAGGTGTGCAGTTCAGGAAATTGCTGGCTTTGGCTGGACCATACTTTTACTGCAAGGAAAATTTTATTCGTCACTCAAGTAATTGGCAGTTTAAATACCTTGTTCATAATTACCTTATAAACAAACGAATATATAAACCCAAGTGTCTATGATTTGTTATCTAACTCATAGCCTCATTTGACCTGCATGAGAGACACCTGTGGACCTCCCATCCCTACTCTGAAAAATGAATTTGTTGCATTTATTATTAAAAAATGACTACAGCTGCTATTTGTGTTTTGTTGTTGTGAATTACTATGTAAAGGTGGATAGAATAGCTCCAGACAGCCTGGGCCCAAAGCAGATGCAAAGGTGAGGGGACAGGGTAGGATCTGGGCATTTTGGTGCTGTTCCACTGTTGGAGGAGAACACCCTTGTAATACAGACACCGGGTTATGTATTTAAAAGAAAATGTCTGTCCCTCAAAGTGTGGTTTTGTTTAGCTCCCACACCCTGACCCTAAGGCCCATGGCTTGTTTCTTGGACAGATTCCATCTCCGGGGCCTAGAAACTGACTAATTGACTCACTTACATTACCTCACAGCTAGATCAAGGCATTTGTACACTGGTGAGTCCAGATGTGGGAAATGGTCACAATCAAAGGTCATGGCTGACTTGACTCTAAACAAAGTCTGTTAGAGTTTATGGGAATTTGAGGGGCTTGGTAATTTGTGACTCATACATAGGACTGCTAATCTTTTTTTTTTTTTTTTTTTTTTAACTTTACTATGAGTTTTAAAGGCATGCATTGTCTGCTTGGTACCTTTTAACCTTTCATAGTATTGCTTTTAAAAATGGAGTTTCTTGTACATTTGAACTTTAAAAATTAAAAAAGACAATGTCCACAATCCTTAAAAGGAATATGCTGTGGGTTTTGACTCTGTTTTGAGAATGTTAGTCTGTTGTTAAGAGTTTGTACCTGTGGAGTTCCCCCCTGGTTGTTTCTTGTGGAGAAAGCAGCATCTGACATTTGCAGGGCCAGGAAATCATCATCTTAATTGTAGTGGGTGCCAAACACACACAAACCCCTGGGGGCCGGCCTGCCCAAAAAAGGGTAAATGCACAGATTGAAAGGGAATCCTGTCTGCATCCATGATGATGGCTCAGTGAGCCAGTTGGATTTCCACATCAGTTTGAGGAGTTATGCATACATTCAAGGTAAAAACTAGTAGACCTTTCTGAAAGAACATATATAGTAAGAATTTAATTATGAAAAGAGCTTTGATACCCTATATCCTATAAAATAAGCCTTCCGGGATTGTTTTGGGTCCAATCCCGACTTCCTCTGTGGGATGGTTCAGAAGTGGTTGCACTGGAGATGTGCAAAGCTCTGGTGTCCTAACTTTAGATGATCTATTCTATCTATATGAGAGAAACTTTTATGACTGAATGGCATAATCTATGTAAAGTGTTTAGGGTAGGGTTTGGCACCTAATCTGTGCTTACCACAAATTCCATACACATTCCAACACAGTGAGATGAACACATTGCTTCAAAGCAGGATAAACGCAATCTTCTTTATTATTGAATTTTTATGTTTCATACACTGTATTTTAATTATATTTAGAGCGCCCTCCCCTATCTGCACCCCTCTTATAGCTCCCCCACTAGTTTTCAGGTACTCTGTCACATATATTTAGGCCTACCAAGCTAAGTTAACACAAACTTCTTTAAAGAAATTTGCAATATGGCAGAGGCCACTGGTGTGCGTGATCTGTTGAGATATGGTGTAGGATTATGTGAAGGTATTTGACAGATGCACATAACCTCTAAACTGGAGAGAGGCTCTGAGTTATTAACAATGCAAGAAAGCTTAATAAATTCAAAGCACTGTAAAATCCAGCTTTTGGTAAGAGACTTTACTCTTATGAACTATATTTTCTAACTGAGAGAAATACACATATGAAATAGATTTTCTAAATTTTTTGGGAAGATTGAATGCAAACTGTACACGTATTGCCATGAGGCTTTTATAAGATGCAGAGCTCAGATTCTCTTGCTATTTTGGGCTTGTAAAGAGAAAATCTTCCTGTGATTGTTCTAGCTTTTCTACTTGAACATGTTATCTTTCTCTTCTAAATGATGATCTAGAAAGTCCATGCCACCTTATCCGGTATGGCAGTTGAGATGGCCTGTGTGTCTAGTTGATTTCTGTTTTCTAACAAATTCCTCTTGGAAGATATGGTACCAATGTCCATTTAAGAGCTTTGACTCCCCCCGCTTCCATATGAAGTGCAGTAGCGCCAGTAGAATAGAGGTAGAAATGTCCCACGTGTTCTGTCCCATTTGATGCTATCCAGCTCTGCAAAAGTGGACACTGTAATGAAGAAACTGAATTCTAACTTTTTTTGTTTTGTTTTGAGTCATGGTCTTACTATATAGCCCAGGCTCACCCAGAACTTGGCAATACTTAAACTTTAGCCTCTAGAGTACTAGGATTATAAGTGTATGCTTCCATACCTGGTAATATTTACTAGTGACTATATGTATACATATGTGCATTGCAGGTTGTATGTGTGTGTGATCATGAATGCTGGTCCATGAACATTTCTTTACATTTCAAATGCTAGTGGCTGCCATTGTGGTCTGTTCTGGTCTATTGTTGAGATTCTTGATGTCTAGCATGTTTTAATCTGGGTCTGGGATTATTTAGACTGGTGTGCTCTTCTGGGGTACCTTTGTAACATGGAAAGCCCTGTGATACTTCCACTGGGATTGAAACCTCTGTCAATTCTCTAAACTTTGCTGAAAGAGAAAGTGATCTGTTCAGCCAGGCTCTACACAGCTCCAGACTGATGAGTACTGAGATGACATGGGCACCTGTGGAGTGAGGGTGCTTGCTAAGAGAAGAATTAAATTATGAATCAAAGAGTGGGGCTGGTAAGATGGCATTGTAAGCAAAGGTGCTTGCTGTCTAAACCTGGAGACCTGAGTTCAAACCACAGAACCCATGTGAACTCATAAAGTTCAAGTAGAAAACTAATTGGGCAAAGTTATCTTCTGACCTCCAAACATGTGCCATGGTATGTGGACATCCCCCCATGCATTTATAATAGTAAGTACAATAATTTTTTTAAAAGAAGAAGGAATTAGATCTATAGGGCCTGATATAACCACTTGGTGCTAAGCACTTCATTTGCCATTTAACAAAACAAGGAAGTAGTCAGAAAAAATCAACCTAGAAGAAAAAACAAACTCATTGTCATTAAATGTATACCAGCTAGACAGATATATTCAGTAGTACCTCAAGCTGATATACGAATGTTTTTCATCTTTTCTAACTCAGTGACTACAGTAGCTGTGAAGCTGATGTTTGACTTCTAACAGTACTGTTTAGATCAATTTGTTTTTCATATTTCTGAAGAACAAGATATAAATAAGAACCATTTTTCTCCTTTTAGTTTGCTGTACTATTAAACCCGCTATGTGGGTGTCTCTTAATTGTAGGGCTGGAAACAGGATCACTGAGATATTCCCTGAACACCTGAAGCGGTTTCAGTCCCTTGAAACATTGGACCTGAGTAGCAACAATATTTCAGAACTTAAAACTGCGTTTCCACCCTTACAACTCAAGTATCTGTAAGTATAAATTGCCAAAGGCTTTCACCTGCAATGAAACTATTATTATAATGGAAAAAAAAACTTTAAAGTAGAGAAAATTCTATTTTATTGCTGTTGGATCAAAATATAACTTTCTTATTGACTTAAAATTCATTATTAGCCTAAGTAGCTATGCTGTGTTTTCTGGTCTTACAGTTTTGGGTCACAATCAGATACTCTTTCTCCAAAAGAAACCATATGAGGTACAAACCGCTTCTTTTTTTAAAATGATCTAAACTAGAGCATTGCTGTTTATTAATAATGAATTTTTCACAAAGCGAATATATATTCATAATAAATTTTTGTAACCTTCAAATATCTCCATCTGTCTTTCCTGGCAATGCATGTGCACAGTTACTTCCCTTGATGCTGTCACTGAATACCTACCTACCAGAAGAAATTTAAGGGAAGAAGGACTTTTTTTGAGTTGTATGTTGAGGGGACAATCCATCATGACAGGGAAGGCGTGGTGTAAGGAATGAGAGTTGGCTGGTCATATTGTGGACAGGAAGTAGGGCCAGAGCATAAAAGCTTAAGGGACCTCCCCCTGTGACTCACTTCCTCTAGCTAGACCCCCACCTTCCAAAGAGTCTGCGACTTTCCAAAAGAGTACTACCTATTAGAAAACAAGTATGTAAGCCTTATGTAGGGCATTTCACATCCAAACCATAATGTGTGATTCTTTTTATTTTTATTTATTATTTTTCTGGTACTGGGACTGGAACTCAGGGCTTCACCCATGCCAAGTAAGTGCCCTACTGTTAAACTGTACCCAGTCTCATATGTATGAACCTAATCAACATTTGTCCATGGATACCTAAACAGTAATTATTTTAAGTGTTCATTGATGGTCAGATTCTCTGGAGAGTCTGTAGTAGAGATGACACGCATCTCAACTTCCCAAAGAAACGTGAATGAGCTGTTCATCTTCAAACTTTTAACAGGTATATCAACAGCAACCGAGTTACATCCATGGAACCAGGGTATTTTGACAATTTGGCAAACACACTTGTGGTGCTGAAGTTGAACAGGAACCGAATCTCAGTCATCCCCCCCAAGATGTTTAAACTGCCTCAGCTGCAACACCTGTAAGTCAAAGTGGCCTTTTAGATACTGTGTCCTCACCTCCTCCAAACCTTGGTGTCTGTTCTGATGCCCACAGTGTAGCAGAAAGAGCTTAGACAGAAGCATGTGACTACTGCCTTCCTTTTCATAGCTGCAGTTGTAGAAACTGTGAATTGGAAGGAGACTTCCAGTCACCTCAGCTAGCTGCTGTCTGACAGGACATGTTAGAGGGTTCCTGAAAGAACAAGCGGTATGACACTGAGCAGCCCCCGTACAAAGGTGCTTTTGTGGCCCTGGAGCTGTAGTTTATGAGAATAATACCGACAACTCCATGAGGCTCTGATAGCTTAAGTGGCTGTGAAGAACTGTCTTGTTAATAATGGTAGAATGATCTGTGAGCAGGCTTCTGCAGTGGTGTTTTTCAGCCTTGGCTGCACATTACAGATAGTTGGGGAGCTTTTAAAAAAAACCCAGTACCAGGCCACACCCTAGACTGAGTGCATTAAAACCCCTTGGGGTTAGGATCCAGGCTTCAGGAACTTTAAAAGCTCCTCACATGAATCCAGTGTTCAGCCAAAGTGGAGAACTGTTGCCTACAGGAAACCATCGGATGGAAAAAGAATTGGGAGAGATGGTAACCGTCTTTGCAAGTATGTGGGGCAGGATGCCGTTGCTGCTCCAGAGTGGATCTCCTGATTTACTGGAATGTTCAACACTCTCATTCTGCATCATCTAAAAATGAATATCAATTTGTTTACTATTACACTGAGTGGACAGCAGTTTAAAAATTAAAATGTAATGTAGTTTCTTTATTATTCCAAATGTATATCACATATTTTAGACATTCACTCCCTGTAAAAAATTGAATTTTTTTTTTAACAGAAAGGTTTAGAAATTGGAAGCATTCTGTATAGTTTAGCACTGACTGGGTTAAAGATATTGTGGCATATGATATGTTTTATCACTACCTCCAGAACTTAATTGTCCTGTGAACTAACTTAAATTGTAATATCCAATGCAGTGAACTGAACCGAAACAAGATTAAAAATGTAGATGGACTGACATTCCAAGGCCTTGGTGCTCTCAAGTCTCTGAAAATGCAAAGAAATGGCGTAACAAAGCTTATGGATGGAGCTTTCTGGGGGCTAAGCAACATGGAAATCTTGTAAGTGTGGGTTATTGTGGTGCCCGCTCAGATAAATGAACCTGAAGCATTTAGTAAACACTCAGTAGCTCTGATGGGAAAGCCTGTGTTAAAACCTCAAAATGCATAACTGAAGTTATCATTTATTACCCAGTTTTGTTTCAGACAATCAGAGAATTTATAAGTATATAAATCTCTTGCTGCTGGCTTTATGTACCCAAAGCTAATTACCTTAGGAATAATAGGGATATGTAATAGGTTGTAGTTATATGTCCTCTTCGAAGAGGCTAATGAACTCTGGGTCCTCCCTTTGGTTCTTACTGTGAATACAGGCAACTGGACCATAACAACCTGACCGAGATTACCAAGGGCTGGCTGTACGGGCTGCTGATGCTGCAGGAGCTTCATCTCAGCCAGAATGCCATCAACAGGATCAGTCCTGATGCCTGGGAGTTCTGCCAGAAGCTCAGTGAGCTGTAAGTTGCCTTTTGTTCTCCTCAGGTTCAAGAGCAGGGATCGTGCCAGAGCCTGAGTTCCTTACCACTGATCTGTGAAATGTTCATAACAGAGTTTCCAAGGTGACAGCTATTTTCACATGCGACGTTGTCATTGTATTTCTGTTGTGATATACTGAGGCCAACTCTACTCTTTTCAGGTCTGTGGCACATGGGCAAAAGTAGTCATGGTTTCATGTTTTGTTTTGTTTTTTAATTACTGAGATTAAAATAGTGTTTACCTGGACAGTATTAAAACAGAATGGTAAAATAGAAACATAGAACGATTGTGGGGCTGGAGAGATGGCTCAGTGGTTAAGAACACTGGCTGTTCTTGCAGAAGACCTGGGTTCAAATCCCAGCACCCACCTGGCAGCTAACAACTGTCCGTAACTCCAGTTCCAGGGGATCTGACAGCCTCTTCTGTCCTCCGCAGGCATCGCATGACACAGGCATTGCACAACACGGGTGCACTTACCTACATGCAGGCAACATGCGTATACATAAAAATAATAAATAAAATGTAAAAAAAAAAAAGAGTGATTGTAGTTACATTTTTACCTATCTTTTGGAAAACATTGTGTTGAATAGAATGATAAAAGCTATTTTTTAATATGTCTTTTCCTTACAGAGATCTAACTTTCAACCACTTGTCGAGATTAGATGACTCCAGCTTCCTTGGCCTAAGCTTACTAAATACCTTGCACATTGGGAACAACAAAGTCAGCTACATTGCTGATTGTGCCTTCCGGGGCCTTTCCAGTTTAAAGACTTTGTAAGTTACACATTTTGCTCTTGGTACATGAACCTAATTGGTTCCCAAATGTGCCCACTTTTCTCCCAGCAGATTTCCGTTGTTGTCAAGGAAATGTGTACAGCCTCAAAAGTAGGGTCTTAATCTTTCCCAGAACAGTTTGATTAAAATAGATTCATTTCATACATGTGTGTTTCTTAAAGGGATTAGACAGGCCACTGATGAGACTCTCTGGGTGATTGCAGTTTTCCCTTCTCGGGATCTCTAGGAAATTCAGAGCTGCTAAAGGGAGAAACAGTTTTACATCCACTAATTGTTTTGTTTTTTTTTCCTAAAATACAGATTAAAAATAACCCAGAGCCAACAAGGCTATAAGACTGTAGGAAGGGCTGTGAGGGCAGATGCCTTTTTCTCATGCTGGTTTTCCATCACCTGATTTCTATCCTAATAGAGAGAAAAGAGTTGACTGAATCAACCTTTTGCAGAATCGCTCTAGTGTTAATTTAATGTTGTACAACAGCCTGGGTTTTTTTGCACTGCCGTCAGAAACAGTGTTCTGTCCCTTTCGGAAGTGTGACAGAGTGGAAAGATGCGTCCTCTGCTTCGGCACACTTCTGCTTGTGTGGTGGGAACCTTGGTTTGAAAGCTTAATACAGTTTTCAAGAAGTTGTTCAAGTCTTCAGAGTTTAGTCATCTTGATAGAAGATTTAACAGGGCCAGGATGACTGTGTTGATTTGGGACCAAATTTTAAAATTTTATGAGGGCAGAGCTCAGGGTGTGAGAGGCACATTGGAGAGCTGAGTTTATTATTTTGAAATGGGTGGAGATGATGGGGATTAGGAGGATTTTGTCACCAATGGCAGGACACCTGGGTGGTGATCCAATTTCTGAAGCTTGTCTCTAAAGAGAATGTTTATTTTTAATTAGGGATCTGAAGAACAATGAAATTTCATGGACCATCGAAGACATGAATGGCGCTTTCTCTGGCCTTGACAAGCTGAGACGGCTGTGAGTATAATTCACCTCATAATTTCACTCTTCTTTGACTTAAAATTTTTGTCTTAATTGAAGTCAGATCCATAAGCTGTCATCATTAAGAAATTAGAAGTAGGTGTGTCATCTGGTTATTTCCCCTGCTCATTCCCCCAAGTGAGGGCTGTTGTACGTATGTGTGTGTGTGTGTGTGTGTGTGTCTGTGTGTGTCTGTGTCTGTGTGTCTGTGTGTGTGTCTATGTGTGTTAATTAGCTTTTCTTCCTTGGATAAAGGGAAGAAAATGCAACTCTTCAGTTTGTATAACTGTTTTACCTATCTAGATAAGAACTTAAAAATTGCTTTGAGTGTTATACATTAGGAATCATCACAGTGTGGAAGAACGTGTGCGTACGTATTCCAGCATTAGAAGCTGCCAAAGCTACCAACATTGCTCTTTGATCATAGGAGTTCCCAAACAAAGGGGTCCATTGTCCATTAGTAGTGCTACAACAGAAGTACAGGATGAGACACCTTCTGTGTAGCTGTCAAATGGTCTTGCAGATAGCCACGTTGTGTTTTCAGTTGGTGATGAAGGGATCCACAGAGAAGGAGGTGAAGGACAAAACCTTCACTAAAAGGGCTGAAGAGCAGTGTTCCAGTGTGACTGCAGAGGGACCTAGTCCCTATATTGGCTGAGTTTTCTGTGCAATGCTTTGCCTCTCGTGTTAAGCTGTTACTGAAATAGCAAGACTGCAGCTTTTCGAGTTACATTGTTTAATTGAAAAAATAGAATTGTTCACAAATGAGAAGAGTTCTTTTTATGAGTTCCACTCCTAAAATGGCTTTTTAAAATTAACTGCCGCTGTGATTTTTTTCACTCTAGAATACTTCAGGGAAACCGGATTCGATCTATTACCAAAAAGGCCTTCGCTGGCTTGGATGCACTGGAACATCTGTGAGTAACTGGAACTTAGTTCCCCTAAGGGAGGTCTAAGATGGTTATCTGTACATTCATGAAAAATGAAGCAAATTAGAATATAATTTTGTTGATATTCTTCCAGTGCCATAAAACACATCTGTACATCTATTTATACATCTGTCAGTCTAGCTACCTATTTATTTACCCACCTACCTGGAGAAGTTTACCAACGTTTCCGTCTGGATTTAAGAACACTACTCTACTCCATTATTCAGTTTCATTTCTTTTTCTAGGAGGTAATATGTTGAGTTTAAAACAATCTGCCACATACTGTATATTTACTCCACATTGGTCATTGTGCCAGGATATGTTTGTGTGTGTGTGTGTGTGTGTGTGTTCATTCAATTCTTATAAGAATACTATTCAATGGCCATTACCGTTTTTAAGAAATACTTTATTTATTGTTTTTATTTTATGTGTATGAGTGTATCGCCTGCATGTGTGTAAGTGCTCCCAATGTCTTGCAATGCCCAAGGAGTTCAGAAGAGGGTGTTGGAACCCCTAGAACTGGAGTTACTGACATTTGTTAGCGGCTATGTGGGTGCTGGGAATCAAATCCAGGTCCTCTGAAAGAGCAGCCAGTGCTCTTAACTGCTGAACCATATCTCCAGCCCCGACATTACCATTTTTTTAAGTAGAGAGCCTGAAGAGTCATTGATTCCTTTCAACAGTTAAGGTGTCTTGGATTTTAAAGATCAAAAGGACAGTTTCCCACAGTCCTTAAGAGATGGTGATAGAGATGGAGGGTGGCTAACACTGTCCTGAGACTGTAGTTGATGTTGTTTGATGTCACATGTACAACCTGCCGTTACTGTTACCATCCTTTGTTCCTGACGCATCAGTTGGGGACTGGCAGGAATGTAAGTTGTGTGTGAAGACCGCCTCTGCCTTCATAAGGACTGTATGTCCCTTTAGTGCTTGCCTACCCTGTCTGTGCTCCTTCTTGGGAATCTTTGGCATACATTTCTGAAATGAGATTTAGGGGGGGAGAGTTTTCAGCTACCTGAAAGTATTGTAACAGCTGACCTAGCCAACTGTGGGTATACATTTCATACTTGGGCAAATTTTGTGTAATATAAAGTGCTTGCTCTGTTGAGGAGAGCTGGTAGTGAGAAGTTTTCCTGTCTGTTAACTTGGGTGGACAAAGTATAATTTAAGATATAGATTTGGTTTATACTCTCACTGGGACTGTGTATTGAAAGTGAAGAGATATGGATGTGTTATCTGTAAACTGCCTTGTGGCATCTTCAGACTGTACCAGTTGTTCTAAGAGAACTCTGGCTTGCCAACCCCCCAACAATGCCGCAGTGGAAATTGTAAGAGAATGAGTCTGCAAAACTGTGTTTTGCAAGGTCGGGCCAGGATTGCTGTACTTATTGGAACAGATTATTTTCAAAGGCAAACTAGCCAAAGGGTTTGTCAGCTGGCCCATTCCGTTTCTGGGAAAGTGGAATTAGTGGATCAGCAGAGTATTAACCTCTGCTTCAGTTTTCTTTAACCTTCCCTGACTCTCCCAGACTGCGTCCCATCCAAGTCTGGCACCTTCAGTCTTTGTTTTCTGTTGTCACTTGTCTCACTCAAAATCCCCCTCTGTATGCTGTGAACTCTGGGAAAAAAAAGTAGCCATCCTGGCTGGTAGTTTAATTCAAATTGCTTTGATTTACTGGTGAAAAATAAAATCAGCCCAGAATATTCTTTCATTTTACAAATGTCCTGTCTGGAATGTTTGTTTTAGCAAGTACATCTTGTCTGAATATCTTTCTGCCTTTGTATTAGTGAGGGGTGTGTGTGTGTGTGTGTGTGTGTGAGAGAGAGAGAGAGAGAGAGAGAGAGAGAGAGAGAGACAGAATTAGGTTGGAGTGGAAAATAATTGGTTCATCTTTCATCTTCCTCTTCATGCCAAGCTACATGGTAACGCCACCTTCCTGTGGGGTGTTTTAGAAATGACTGCGTTAATGCATATGTGAATCATTTCACACAAAACATGTCTTAGAAAGTGTGCTTCATTTCCTAAAGTACATAATTAATGAAAAATCAAGTTATGTGCTTAAGGTAATCAATAGTGAATTTGAATAATAATAAGGGAGTATTGCCCAATCTTGGAAGATACACCATGGCAATGGGTTTGGTCTGATGTGTTTGAATTGCTGTTTTTCAGTGACCTGAGTGACAACGCAATCATGTCTCTCCAAGGCAATGCATTCTCCCAAATGAAGAAACTTCAACAACTGTAAGCTTTACTTTTCTTTCCCAGAGTTTCAAATGCAGCCTAGAAGGGAAACTGCCATATGAGGTGCCTACAAAATGTGTCCCCATTAGATTCTTAACATCACTTAATTTTTATACCATGGAAAAAAGGCAAGCTGGTTCCTTTGGTTGCAGTGAGGGGTTTCTTTGTCTCTGTTTTGAATTTGCAACTTAATTTTGTGGGGCCACATACAGTATGGTGTCTAAACATAGTAGCCATTTTTCATTAGTTAGGAATTTTGATAGATCAGCCCTTCTGCCTCAGCAGGACAATAAGAACAACAAAGGCAAAAAGTGATTATCAGTTCAGTTCATGCATTTTAAGATAGACTACAGAATATTCATAGCATGGGATATATGTATTTGATTTCCAAATTCCTCACTTGGTTAATATTTACTTAAGTTTGGTTTACTTGTAGAAGTCTGCATTTCATAGAAAACAAATTGAATATAATTCTTCTCCTCAGGCATTTAAACACATCAAGCCTTTTGTGTGACTGCCAACTAAAATGGCTCCCACAGTGGGTGGCAGAGAACAACTTTCAGAGCTACGTAAATGCCAGTTGTGCCCATCCTCAGCTGCTTAAAGGAAGAAGCATTTTTGCTGTCAGCCCAGATGGCTTTGTGTGTGGTGAGTAAAAGTACTGTCCTTGATTTTTATTCATTCTTCCTTTTTTCCACTCATTTGTCCAAATAATGGTTTTGAATAAATTTATGTTCTCTTAATAAAGCTTTATATTTCTGCTGAGGTAGACGAAAACAGATCTATAGTTTGCTGATTATTCTAATTTTACAGATGGTAGAGTTTACTAAAATGTCTTCGCATTTGTTTTGGCATCAGGACAGCTTGGTGGAAAGGGTGAAATGGGATCTTGAGGGGACTGAAGGGTAGACCTTGCCCTTCACTTCGATGCCCAAAATCTTAGTCTGCACGCAGGCTGTGGAAGCTCTTACTGATGTTTGATACTGGCTCTGTAAATGGACTATTAATAGCTGCCTTGGTGATATTACAGTTGATGTTTCCTGCTAATTATTTTTAGAGAATATGGAGAAAATTGTAGTTCCTAGTTAGCAGCATTCAAAGATAGACCTTGAGCTTGGGGGTTTCTTTGTGTGCATATTACTGGAGATCAAACGTAGGGCCTTGCATGTGCTAGGCAAGAGCTCTGCCACTAAACTGTATCGCCCCCCGCACACATACTCACACACATTTTTTTAATTTCCTTTTTAAATTTTGAGACAGAATTTCACTAAATTTCTCAGGTAGCCTTGAACTCACTCTGTAGCCCAGCCATGCCCTAAATTTATGATCCTCCTGCCTCAGTTTCCTAAGTAAGTAGAATCATAGGTCTCAGTCACCGATGAGGTGGACCTGGAAGTTTCTTAACTGCTTCTTGCTCTTTTTTTTTTTTTTTAAATCAGTATTCTTTTGTATTCTTTCACAAATTTATACACATATACATATGTATATATTAAAAATTTTCATCATAGTTTCCCCATTTGTCTTTCTCATCCTTCTTCTCCTCCCACTGAAACTCTTTCTTCTTCCCATCTGACTCCTGCTCAATGGCTTTTTGTTTGTCATTTCTTTGTGGTTCACTTCATTTAATCAGGGTTACCTGCCTGAGTGTGGGTGGGGGTGGCCTGAGTGAGGGCAATGCATTGTGGCTACATGACTGAGGATCATGACTCTCCCTCCTTAGCCACCATTAACTGCCTCTAGCTCCTTAGGGAGGGGTGGGGCCTCAGGAGCCCCTGCCCTATCCATGATGGAATGTTGATTGCCCATTCTTGTGCAGATCTTGTGCAACTTGGTTTTTGCTCTTAACTGAGGTTTGTTGATAGGCTTATAGGAAAGAGTATAAAGTAGCTAAGGATTTATGGGCTATTGAGAAATTAACTTGGTGCGTAAAACATAAGTAGTGTCAAGTTTGAACTTATTATAAATACTTTAAAGATTCATTGTTTTCACTCCCAAGAATCTCACCATTTGAAACCTGCTTACCCAGAATTCTCTTAGCTAGTTAGAAGCAGACCTTATTTAAACATTAAAGTTTCCATCTCTTACTGAGTTTTCTTTCTTATACACTAGACTTGTGTTTACTGTTAACTGTCAGGAAAACCTGCATAAAAGTAAATGTGTGTAGAAAACATGAAATCAAAATTTGCTTATGCTTGTGTGTGAGAAGATAGTGCAGACCTATTTAGGCTGGGATTTAAAAATTTACTCAACATGTTTTGCCTACAATCTTTTTTTTTTTTTTAGGTTGTAGCATTTAACAGTGCCAGCAGTTTCTGGAAATAAAACCTCTGATGTAGTTTTTGGATCCAAATAAGCTTTTGGCATTCATCTGTAAGGGCCTGAGCTGCTCCTTTCCCATGGTCTTTGTTTCACACTCTTTTAGTCCCAGTATATGAACTCCCTAGTGCCATGAGACAAATCCATATATATCATCCATGGTTTTTTCCTTCTTCTTCACTGTGAATCAGAACACTGATTTATGTGGTCACGCTTTCAAATAATCACAGAAGAAGCTGTCTGTTTTGACAGTCGATAAGGCATGAGTTGAAAGCTGGAAGGTCTAGAGCAGTGAGAGCAGCCCAGTGCCTCCTGTTCATATACCTGAAAGGTTCATTTGACACATGAGCCATTATCCATTGGCTTATGTTGGGGGATCTGATAGTTTCCTTCAGGGTTTATTTAGACCATCTCTGAGAAACTGAAGTTCAAAAAAGGTAACTCTTCCAAAAAGTAACAGGGAACTAAAAATAACGGCTTAGAATGAAAGAGTTGCTGAGCTCTAATTATAATGTAGCTCTGACAGGGTAGCACAGCAGAGTGATTGATGGGCTGTTCCACTCTGGCCTAACCAGCGTCTTACTGGCTTGCACATGCTTTTCCATTTTGTGATTTTTTTTTTTCGCAGTGGGGTGTGGGTCGTCAGCTCTAAATATTGGTTCTGATCTGGGAGATATTAATTTCTCTTTTCATTTTTGTTGCTATTATTATTATTGTATATGTGCATGTGTGCTTGTCTGTTTGAACAGCACACACATGCAGATGATCTTAGGAGGCTGGAAGAAAGTGTCAGAACCCCAGGAACTAGAGTTACAGGCCTTTGTGAACTGTCTGGTCTGTGTGCTAAGAACTGACCCCAGGTCCTCTGTAAGGGCTGCAAGTCCTCTTAACCACTGAGCCATCTCTCCAGACCTCTCATTGCTGGCTTTGATGATATTGTGATTATTTGCCCTTGGTATTTAAAGAGTTTTATGCTTTCTTTTTGGTGGAAAACTTAGGCCAAAAATTGCAGTTCCTAAGAATAATATTCAAATTGGCCCAGGAGCCTGGAAGTTTCTTAGCTGCTTTTTTATGTTTGATTGACACATGGTAATTTTACATGTGTACAGCGTGCAGTGTTACCTTCTGTACGTGAAGACATGCCATGATCAGATGGGGCTACCTCACAGACCCATCACCTCAAACATTTATCGTTTCCTTGACTGGGAACATTGGCAGATTCTCTCCACTGTCCCTTGAAATAATCACTTAATTGCTGTCAGCCAGTGCTGTGCACTGCATCCCTGTTTTGAATATTGTCCGATTCCCCTTGTGACTTCTTAACTGTTCTCCTCCTATGCTGATACAAAACACCGGACATGTGGCATAAACTTTCCTGATCATTTCAAGGTAGCAGTCTACTCTCAGGTAATAGGATGGATAAACAAGCCGCTGCCTCTGTCTAACTTGAGTGCGTTTCATACAAACATTTTCCCAGGGTGCCATTCAGCCCTGGGAAGGCCACCGTGCCTGTAAAACTCAGGCAAAGGGTCAGCCCTGAGCTGCCGTCAGCTTGTGTTTCTTGGAGTTGGCATTTGAGCAGCATTGGACTCAGGTTTTCACATCATTCTGTTTCCTTCTCTCCATTTTGAACAGATGATTTTCCCAAACCCCAGATCACGGTTCAGCCAGAAACACAATCAGCAATAAAAGGCTCCAACTTGAGTTTTATCTGCTCAGCTGCCAGCAGCAGTGATTCCCCAATGACTTTTGCTTGGAAAAAAGACAATGAACTTCTGCAGGATGCTGAAATGGAGAACTATGCACACCTCCGAGCCCAGGGAGGCGAAGTGATGGAATACACCACCATCCTGTGGCTGCGCAATGTGGAATTTTCCAGCGAAGGGAAATACCAGTGCGTCATCTCCAACCATTTTGGTTCATCCTACTCCATCAAAGCCAAGCTCACAGTCAACAGTATGTGATCCACTTTCCTCCTGCATTTAAAGAGCCTTTAGAAACAGCACTGATGGTCCATCTGTCTCTCCCTGTCTCTGTCTCTGTCTCCCTGCCTGTCTCTTTTTCTCTCTCTCTCCAAACCCCTTCTTTTCTTTGCATAGTTTCCCATCTAGCTCACTTCCTCACCCACCTGTCACTACACATAATCACCATTTGTGATTATTGGTATCTAAGGCAGTAATTATTGTGTGAGATTCACCTCACCTGGTATGGTAATATGATGGGATGAACCAGAGTCAAGATAAACCAGATATCTTCTGTGCTCTATGGGAACTGACAAACTGCTACTGTAATATGAGATACCCTAAAGTATACTGTTAAAGCACACTGCCTTTAATTGAGTTCTGGGTATGAATCCTGCCACTCCTGATTTATATCTGTGTAACTCTCAGCAAGTGACAACTTCTTTCCTCTGCCTTCCAATTAGAGAGCATGGTGCCACCACACAGAAATGTTATAATCCTTAAATAAAATAACATATGTAAAAGACTTGGCAGAGTGCCTTGGAGTTTGGGTAGTGCTCACTCAATGCAGTTACAGTAGCCATTGTTAATAAACAATAGGATCAGATCAGCATTTGTGTGGCAGGGATACAATTTTACAATTCTGAAATTGTATTATGAGTGCTTATCTTTATCATTTTAACTTTACTGTCTGCCTGGTAGAAGATTTTTGAATATGATCCATTAACAAATTTATTCAGCAAGGGATTGCTGAGGCCTGGCACATAGAACAGTTTAGAGTGCAGGATAGAATATTTACTGTGAGCACAGCTAAAGTCACAGAATGTTAGAGACTGCGGGAAAGACTGGAAAAAGAATGGCTAGAGATTTACTGATTTGCCCAGGATCTCACACTTAGTTATTGAGGAAACTAAAAAGTGGCCAGAAAATAGCAAGATCATCTTCAAGCTGAGGATCCTGTGACCTGTGTCATCCTGACTCTGTCACACCTGCACCTGTGTAAGCCTGAGCAAGCTGCTTCATCTTTCTACCTCATTTAGTTTCCTTGTCTCAACATTAGATATAAGCCTGCCTGCCCTTTGCTGGGATGCTTATGGACTTAGGGGAGGTGCAGGTGGGCCTTTGAAACACTGTGTAATCATCCTGCATTCTGTGATTTCAGTGCTTCCCTCGTTCACCAAGACCCCCATGGACCTCACCATCCGTGCTGGGGCCATGGCCCGCCTGGAGTGCGCTGCTGTGGGCCACCCAGCCCCACAGATAGCCTGGCAAAAGGATGGGGGCACAGACTTCCCTGCTGCCCGGGAGAGACGCATGCATGTGATGCCCGAGGACGATGTCTTCTTCATCGTGGACGTGAAGATAGAGGACATCGGTGTGTACAGCTGCACAGCCCAGAACAGCGCAGGGAGTGTTTCTGCCAATGCGACGCTGACTGTGCTAGGTGAGACAGTTTCTTAAGATTCTGAGCCCCTCGTGTAGGCCCTGGCTCACCTAGAGACCCTCTGTGCTAGAAGCTGTTAGGGAGAGAAATGAAGATCCGCAAAGCACCGCCCTTTTCTAAAATGAACAAATGGCTTCCTGGCAGCTCTAAAATCAGGGTTGCATATTGAATCGGCCCCCAAGACTCCAACCAAGTACAAGCTCTGATGCTGTCCCTTCGTATAGGAGTAATTCTCTAGTTCTGATAGTCTTAACATTGAAAAGAATATGTTAAGAAAGGCTGGAGAGGTGGCACAGCTTGTTGGGACCCTAGCACCTACACTGTGGCTAATAACTGCCTGTAACTCCAGTTCCAGGGGATCCAACTTCCTCTTCTGGCCACATGACACAGATACACTGGCATACATGTAGAGAGAACATTCACATAGTAAAAATAAATAATTTTTTAAAAGAATATGTAAGAAAATGTGTGTATGAACAGATGAGGAAAGCCTGTTCTCTCTGGTTAGTCCGGCATGTCACTGTGAAGTCTGAGTCCTCACTTGTTAACTAAACACGTACTTGCCAGATTTGGAATACTTCCAACATCCATCCAATCTTTGAGAGAGTTAACATAACCCCAAATGCCAGTTAATAAAAGATGGTTTTCAGGATTTTAATATAGACCTAGGCATCTGGCATAAGAAACTTAATTTTTAATAATTATGTATTTGTTTTCTGTTTATGAGTTGTTTACCTGCATGCATATAAGTCCACTCATGCTTGCACTGCCTGCAGAGGTCAGAAGAGGTCATCATCAGATCTCCTGGAACTGGAGTTACAGATGGTTGTTAGCCACAGAACCTTAATTTTAAAAATTAAGCATGGAGCTGGGGAGATGGCTCATCAGATAAGAGCTGGGACCAAGCACTGCTTCCAAAGGACCAGAGTTCAGTTCCCAGCACTCAAGACGCGCAGCTCACGGCCACCGGCCACCTGTAACTCAAGTCCTAGGGGGATCCGATGCCCCTGGCCTCCACGGGCACCTGTACTCAACATGCATATTCCACACACACACACACACCCTGCCACACACACACCCACAATTTAAAACAATGAAAATAAAACTTTAAAAGATACAAACATTTTGACTTTTTCTACCCATCAGTACACTCTCGTGCTTGAGATAATTTGTATCCATTTTTTAATTTTTAAATGTTTTATCTTCCCACTACCAATCTCCTAATATTGGCACTAATGAAGGAGACCGAGATAAAAAAGGGTGCATTTTATCCATCACTGGTAGGAAACACATTCAGTAAACTGTAGAAGTGTACAAATTAAATACATTCAAGTCCTATCCGCTACAGGGAAACCAGATTTCATTTAGGAAATTTAAAACTTGTCCTTTCAGAGACACCATCGTTTTTACGACCTCTGTTAGACCGAACTGTCACCAAGGGAGAAACGGCTGTCCTGCAGTGCATCGCTGGCGGGAGCCCACCCCCCAAGCTCAACTGGACCAAAGATGACAGCCCTTTGGTGGTGACCGAGAGGCACTTTTTTGCAGCAGGCAACCAGCTACTGATTATTGTAGACTCAGATGTCAGCGATGCTGGGAAGTACACGTGTGAAATGTCCAATACCCTTGGCACCGAACGAGGCAATGTGCGCCTTAGTGTGATCCCTTCTCCTACCTGCGACTCCCCTCACATGACCGCCCCATCCTTGGACGATGACGGATGGGCCACCGTGGGTGTCGTGATCATAGCCGTGGTTTGCTGTGTGGTGGGCACGTCGCTTGTGTGGGTGGTCATCATATACCACACGAGGCGGAGGAATGAAGATTGCAGCATTACCAACACAGGTGTGTAAACACACGCTTGGCCCGGAATGCCGTAGTCATGTATATTTGTGGTTCTGTAGTTGTTTCTTCTAAAATGTGTCTCACAGTCTGAGCCCTCTTACGGGGAGGGTTGACTCATTTGCTGCAAGCTGCAGGAATGTGGTTAGCTGAGAATAATGCCCTATCCTGAAATAAAACCGATGCATTAAGATTAATCAGAATATGAGGATGGCTGCAAGATAAAGCCCAAATCATAGAGTGAAGTAGTCCAGCTCTCTTCCAGGATGGGGATGGGGATGGGGAACCAGAAGCAGCCTTTGAGTTGGCTCACTCCAGCAGTTGTGTGTAGTGTGCTGTTTCATACGTGCACACACAGGTAAGAATTTAGTTATGAGGACTGAAATGTGAAAATTCTGACGTTGATGAAATTGAGGCTACTTCAAGGGCTTAGGTACCGTTCATGTTTTTAAGCCCTAACATTTTGAACAGTGGAGTTTGAATTTGGGGCCGGAGTGCCTTCAGTAAATGATAACATAGAAAATGAACTCATGTCCCAGAGCTGCGAAGCTCTCGTGTCCTTTCTGGGTTTGGCCAGATGAGCTCTTCCCGTGTTACTGTTTATGTACCCCAGAACAGTTCTCTATGCTATTCATCCTGGAAGCTGTGGGTCAAACTGTTGATGCAGTACTATTGTTTGGTTGCAGATGAGACCAATTTACCAGCCGATATTCCTAGTTATTTGTCATCTCAGGGAACATTAGCTGACAGACAGGATGGGTACGTCTCCTCAGAGAGTGGAAGCCATCACCAGTTCCTTACTTCTTCAGGAGGCAGCTTTTTCCTACCACAACATGATGGTGCTGGTAAGTGTTTAAGATGCCATAGATTACTGTTTTGAAGTCACAGGGGAAGGCTCAGGTGTGACAGTAATGTTCAGGAGAAACTGATAAACTGATAATGAAGACTTGACCCAAGATCTCTAACAAAGCTACAGCTGGCCTGAAACTCGCTATGGAGACCAGGCTGGCCTCCATCTCACAGAGATCCTCCAGCCTCTGCCTCCCTAGTGCTGAGATTAAAGGTGTGTGCCACCACACCTGGCTTTATGTCTTTCTCTTAAATGCTTGAAAACATCTTTGCTTTTGATGGTTAAAAAAAAATAAAATAAAACAGGCAGGTCAAGTCACATTTAGTTTCTCCAAGGAATACACTATTTCCTTTACATTATAAATGTCCTTTGGCCCTGAATGTCCTCTGTTAGAATTCCTTGCATAGTCTCGGAGGCCAGGTGGTTTAAAAACCTCTAAGGAAAGCTAGTGTTGCCCCTGCTATAGATGCCTTATGTATCAATCTGAGGCTAACAATGGAGGGGGCATGATGTAGGAGCAGCTCAGTCCAGACCCAGTCTCTGAACAGAGGTAGATGTAGCAGTTCTCAGACAGATGGTTTGAAATTAAAAAGGAAATCTCCATACACAGTGCTTGGCACATGCCAAGGACTCTGCATGTATAAAGCTGGTAGAGCTATTTTCAAACATTTTAGGGTTCTTGCCGCAAATGGTTGTTATGAATTTTCTCTACACCTGGCTTTGTAGCTGGGAGAGAAGAGGACTTGTCTTTAGTTTCAGATTTTAGTCACTGGTAAGGCAAATAATTACAGAAAAGGATTGGCCAGGCAGTGAGAACGGATATATAAAGAGAAGAGCTGAGCATGAATTGGCAAAGAGCAGAGACCTGACCCCAGTCAAGTATGGTGAGGTTAAGATGCACGTGAAACCCTAAAGGGATAGAACGGGAGCTTAGATGCTCACAGGCTGAGCTTAAAGATGTCTCCACTCCCAGAGGCGCCCAGCATTGCCTAGTCACAATCTGCTTGTCTCAGACCATGGTGCACCCACCCTCTGCCTCCCAGAAGCATAGCTCACCATGGCAACTCGATTTAACCAAGACCCTATTGACAATCCTTGCTGTATCATTCCATGCTGTTTAATTGAAGTACTGTGGCATGATTTTTTTTTTTTTTTTGACTGAACTCAGCTTTGAGGTAGAACTCTAAAAGAACACCAGTCAAATGTCAATCCTTGTTTCTGGCCATCTGTGACATTTTATAGGAAAGGAATAGAGACTTCCAAGCCTGGCTGTACACATAGATCAGTTTTCCTTAGAAAGTGAACGGGGCCAGTGGCAAGGTTGGCATGCCCAGCTGAATGGTTAATCAGGTCTCTAATGGGCAGCCCTGCATTTGTGGATCTCAACTTGAAAAGGCCACAGTCCTGACCCAAGGATATCTGTAATGAACTACCACAAACCCAGCTGCATGGGCCTTGAGAAATTGGAAAAAAACTTATGAATATGTGCACTTTTTCTTTAATAACACGTCCTGGCCAAGCTTTCTTCTCTACATAGGGAAAGTGCAGAATTGGCGGGAAATTGACAGCTGATACAACCAATCTGTGATCTGTGTTTAAAAGGTGCCTGCCACATTGACAACAGCAGCGAAGCTGACATGGAATCTGCCCCGGATCCATTCCTCTGCCCATTTGTGGGATCCCCAGGCCCCCTGTACGTGAAGGGCAATGTGTATGGCCCAGATCCTTTTGAAGCGTATCTTCCAGGTATATTTTTCTTGCCTGAATCCAATTCTGTTTCCTAGAGAGACTTCTAAATGTGCTAACCATATCTCCTTCTGATGTGGGTCCCAACTTGAAAAGGTTGCAGTCCTGACCCAAGGGTAGCTTTAATGGACCATTATGAGCCCAGCTACATAAAGAAGGAGTGCTTCCCGTGTGCTCATCCTTCAGAGGAGCCCTGTGAGCAGAACCTCAGTAACATCCCGTGGCCACCATATGTGCGGAAGTTCATTAACTCCATGTGCTCTCAAAATGTCGAGACTCTGTGTCTGGACAAGTCCTCCTTGGATTTTAGTGCAAGTCCAGAGCCAGCAGCAGTTACTTCAAATAATTCTTTCCTGGGTAAGTTTGTCAAGCTGGGAGGTACCTTGCTTCTCAGACCATACTCCATGTTGTGGGAGAGCTGCGAGAGTTCTGAATGTCACACTGGGGGAAAATTATTTCATCCTTAGTGTTCCTGTTGTTTCCCCCTAAGTTGTAAATTTTTCTAAAATACATTCAGGGCTGGGAATTGTGCTTGATTATGTATTTAATCTGTAACTAAGCCCCGGGAGCTTTCTGGGTTACACCGTGTGTGGCATCTTGGAGACAACATTTGGGGAATGACTTAGGAGCTGAGCTTGTCAGCCATGTGGAAAAAGTGGTTTTGGGCTCCGGCAGCCTTAAGGGGTGGAGTTGTATGCTCTGCGTGGTTGTGGTTTCGCATGTCTGGTGGCTTCTAACTGAACCCACGGTAGAAATGGAGAATGCAGCATCCTACCTAGCCTAGCCTTTGCTGCATAGTCAGACATGCCGGACTCCCGTCAGCGAAGTAGGCCCAAGTTTTCGGAGTTAGATACTGGCTGGCACCAAGATTAGATTGTGGATGTTTTGGTCTAGTGCATGTGAACGATGGGAGAAAGGAACAGAGGTGCTCTCCTTACTGAGCGGAGCAATCTGTGAGAGCGAACCACAACTCGCCATAGCATGTTTTTGTTTTCGTGTTTGGTTTTGTTGGTCACATAGAACTTCAAACCGGCTTTACTTAGCTTTTAAAAAATTTTTACCTTTTGTCACAGTATGCTTATGTATATGCCTTCCTGGAAAAAAATGAAAGTATGTTTTGTTGAACTACAGCAAGAATTTGAGTTAATTGTATGGTATTTTGCTACAGTTGGAAAAAGGGCAAAAGACAGGGACCTTTTGAAAGAAGCTTGCCATATCCAGGCACGATTATTTACATATTATCCAATCACCCTTCATGGAGATTCCTGGGCTCTCAGATCATAACTCAAGAGTTTGAGGGTGGGGGATTGAAGTTGGTACTTCAACAACTTCTTGGTGCAGCACTTTATATGGTCAGAAGTGATAAAAATGAGCACATTCATCCAGTGGACATCAATAAGAGGGTGTGCAGATGTTTTCTGCTGAATCTTGTAAATGTTTGTGCACAGCATGGACACACATACACTAGTGTGGGGACCTGGGGAATAATAGCTCATTTATGCTTATGGAAAGATTCTGGTTCTTCTGAAGAATTAATTTGCACACTAGCAGAAGGACCCACGTACTCAAGCGTTTTCTTTATTCCAGGTACGTTTGGAAAGCCTCTAAGGACACCTCACCTAGATGCCTTTTCAAGCTTTGCACAACCTCCAGATTGTCAGCCAAGGCCCTTTCACACAAAAGACCCTTCCTCTCCTGAGTTGGACTCTGAGTCAGGGGAAGATGAGAAAGAAAGGACAGATTTTCGGGAAGAAAATCTCATGTGTACCTATAAACAGAGCTTAATAAACTCCAGGACTCCAAACCTTCAGTCTTATGACTTGGACACATAGACTGAATGGAACCAAAGAAAGACTTTTTAACACACTACCTCAAGTGGACTTCTATTTAAAAGAGACAATCCTATGTTTTTAAATGGACTTACAAATTTCAAAAAGGAAAACATGCCTTATTTATACAGATGAACCAAAACTTACAAAAAGTTATAAAAATTTTATACTGGGAGTAATGTTCATATAAAAATACCTTTTAAAGAAGTATTTTATATCTGTTTTATACAAGAAGTATCTTATGTAAATTAATGGTATAAAGCCATGACTATTTTATGTATTTTTATAATGCCAGATTTCTTTTTATTGAAAATGAATACTAAAGCCTTTTAAATAATTCCCGTCTTGTACTTTTTTGAATAGAGGTCACTTCATTTTATTTTGCACATTACATTTAATAAAATGTGTCATTTTGATGCCAAGCCCCATTTATACAACAATAGCTATATTTTTTACTGTTTTCAATGCCTTTTAGACTAAATTAATTAATATTATCACATCCCAAATGAATCAGAATTAGTTATATTGAGCTTATTAAAATGCTGGCAAAAGTGACCATTCAGCCTGCCTCCTGGGATTACTGTGATATCAACTCTGATTACATTGGTATATGTGAAAATACTCAACATGAGAAGGGGCTGCAATGGCCTGAGGCTTAGTATTTCCAACTTTACAAATGAATAGAGACTTGTTGTAATAGTCTGGTATGGTACAGCACAACAACCATTGCTCAAATAAATCCTCAACCCAGGCTTCTTTAATTATGCTTCTGTCCTAAGTGGGCTAATGCCTTCTGTTGAGTCCAACAGCCCTCCACAACATTCAGTATCCCTCCTGTTATAACAAGGGGGTGGTTTACTGTCTGCAGCAGAAAGGGCCATAGCAGTGGGGAATTTTCACCCGCTGTTCCAGGTTATGATGTTATACCATTGTACTCTCTCCCGTTCTTACTGATTTTTTTTGCGGGGGAGGGGGCCACGGTTTGAGTGTAAATACTGTTTCTAAGGTTTCCTATAACATTAGTGAAAATAGTTTCATAACTTTTTTGTCATCTCAGCTCTACTTGGTTGAAATTTAAAGTATTGAACCTATTACTCAAACACCCACAATCATTTAAGACATTTGTTTTAAACAGTACTAGGTAAGAACATTAGATTTCAAGCCCATATGCACAGAAATATGAGCAAATGATTTTCAAAATGGGTGACATTGCTCAAAGAACTTGAAGGGAATAAACTTACTAAGTCTGAAAACTCAAGTGATAAAACTGAATTTCCCCCCCCTTAGGAAACCTTGTTTGTATGAGTGGTTTAATGAAAATTTCTTTGCCCAAGATAAATTGGCACGAAAGGGATTAGCGCAACATATTAAGGTGCAAATTTCAGACAATTTCAGACATTTTCAGTTCTTCAAAGTAAACTGAAAGCAGCTCTTGGAGGAGTGAATCATCCCCGAGGACATGTTGGGGGCAAGGCTTCCCCGCTCCATGGGTGCTGCTCCTTCTTGTGAACCAAGAGTTTGAACCCAGGTTCCAGGGAGCTTTCCCCTTTTCATTTAGCCACTAGAGTCTTAAGTAAAACAGGAAGTTAAATAAGACAGGAAATTGATCCTTCCCCGGACCACCAGTGACTAAGCACAGAGAAGCGATTTCACATGCTTTGTCTTTATCGTACATCCATATTTTCAGTCTTCTTGTGAATTTATATTACTGCAGAGGTGTTGCAAACACGGATCTGGGTTTCTTTCCAGTGATTATCAACTTCTTTTAAAGGATTTAATTTTTTTTCACACCTAAGCGCAAAAGTCAACACCTAAAATTGAAAAGTTAGATTCATCAAGATGATTTTACTCTTTTACTAAACCTGCTTGGGTGGTGAAAGTGTGAATCAGATGTAAATCTTAGCTGTCTAGAAAAAGATGAACTGGAATTTCCTGACACCGGCAGGAGAATGTACATGATACTGGCACTTGTCGAATTAACTATGAATAGCATTAAGTTAGTCCCAAATAAGGGAAAAGGCAAAAGGTAGATAAATATTAAATCATCTGGTTTATTCATTTTGTTTTTGTAGCGCTAGGGATGGAACCCAGGGTCTTAGGCAAGCGCTCTACTACTGAGCTACATTTCCAACCTAATATTCACTTGCTTTACTTATAAGGTAGCGTGTTAAAACTTTTCAGCCTAACTTTCCTGTCTGCTGGTAGAAGATCACTTCATATACAATGTATGTTGATCGATGTTCATACAACTTTTGTAATTGTTTTCTTAATTCCACTATCAACACTAAACCTATTTATTATGTGTAATCTTAATCTGTGTAAGATCTTGGACTATCCCTTAATTGTAACGTTTCATAAGAAATTATCTTCAGAACATACATGGTTTTTATAGCCTACCTACAAAAGGAAGTCATAAACTGCTACTCAGAACACAGCCAGTCAGTATTTTTTGAATATTCACAGAAAACAGGGAAGTGCTTTGGTCTTTGTACACTTGTGATGAAGTGATAAAGGCAGTTTGTGGTCAATATTACAGTAGCTGTGCCACACTGGCACTGCTCAGGAAGAATAAGAACTGAGTGTCTTTGCAGACTGTCCACCTTGTCCTCCTTCTTGGAATCTGCTACGATTGGGCTTATAATAGAGTAAGTTGGAGCTTAGTATTTTTTAAAAAAATATTTTATTATTTTTATATTATGTGTATGAGTGTATTGCCTGCATGTAGGTAAGTGCACCGGTGTCATGCAATGCTGTTGGATCCCCTGGAACTGGAGTTACAGACAGTTGTTAGCTGCCGTGTAGGTGCTGGGATTTGAACCCTGGTCTTCTGTAAGAACAACCAGTGTTCTTAACTGCAGAGCCATCTCTCTAGGCCTGAGCTTCTGTTTTTTAAGACAGTATTCTATTAACACATTGAGTAACACAGTGCCCTGCCAAGAAAACCATTAGTCTTCAAAGATGGGACATTTCCGCACAAGTTACATAATTTCAATATTCCAGAAACACCTTGTAACCAGAACTCCTCTTTTTCATGAAGCATTTCTTAAACTGATGTGAATGTAGTATAAGAGTGGCAGGAGGCTTGAAAGGTTTCAATTGACCCAAAATTGTCCAGAGGTATTTTAGTTGGTATGTTCTTTCAATAGACTAGAGGGGTTGTGAGCATGCATTTGTGAAAAGATCCCAATATTTGGAGCCACTTGTCCTTTATGTACAGTATGTTTTGATAAAGATACTTGATTTTAGCCAGGTGTGATTGTGCATGCCTTTAGTCCTAGCACTCAGAAGGCAGATGCAGGCAGATTTCTGAGAGATCAAGGCAGCAGGCATGGTCTGCAAAGCTATTTCCAGGCAAGTTGGGGCTACAGGGACTCCTGTCTCAAAAAAAAAAAAAAAAGGAGAAAGGAAAAAAGACCTTGCTCATATGAACCTACAGCAATGATAACAGCATGCAGAAGACCCATGCAAACTCAAGCAAACCAAAACCCAGCAAAGAATTGTGGAACTCGGCATCAGGCCCTAACCTTAGCCAAAGAACTATTGGGCAGCTGATCACTGCTGGGTGAGGAGAAGCTGAGATTCTTTAAGGGGGCGATTCTAGATAGGCTGACTAGACCCTAGTGGACAAACTTGCACCAAGGGACGTCTGGGGACACTAACTTGACTCAATATGCCTTAACATGACAAAATGCATGAAATCCAGTGGGGGGTGGATATGGGTGGGTATGGATAGGAAAGGGGGTATAAAGTTAAGATGTTCTGTATGAAATACAAAAAAATTCAATAAAAATTTAAAAAGATGTTTGATTTTTACACAGTTTCTCAAGTCCGTCCTTACTGTGGCAACATTTCGATTGGTTCCATTTCTACTGCATTTAGTTTCAAGGACATGAAAATTTTATTGTGATTTTCATACAATATATTTTGATTATATTTAGATCCCCTCCCCCATCTACACCTCCCCTTACTACCCCCATTCAATTTAATGTAGCCTGTTAGAGATATATGTATATGAAGGCCTATGAAGTCTGATTTGTGTCCCCAAATGCCCTTTACTGTGGGTCCATCCACTGGTGTCTACTAAGAGTCATATCCTTGAAAGATTGGTTTTCCCCCTCCCAGAAGCCATCTATTAATAGCCAGTATTTCCTCAGGTAGAGTTTCAGAAGGGGAGCAGAGGGAAAGATTATTAGAACCAGAGGTAATTGATGACCACAAGGAAATAGATTTCCAGACAAGCTAGTCAGTTCCTTATGTGAACTCACAGCAATGGTGATAGCATGCACAGGTCCTATGCAAGCTCAAACCAGACAGTTCCAGCATAGATTTGGAAAAGTAAGAAGATACCCCTGCCCTACCTAAGGTTATGAATTTTTTATCCCAAATTCCATATTGTCCCATACATTAGATATCGATGAAGGCAAGGAATATGTTGCTTTGCATTGAAATTACATCATTTAATTAAAGGTTTTTAAGAATAAAAGCAACCCGCAACTGCTACAGTTTAATCCTTGGATTTCTTCTACAATTATTTTCTTCTTTTCATACATGTTCACTGGACCTAGTTTTATTTAGCCAGCTTAACTCTTCTTGAATCTGACTTGAACACAGCACCCAATACCATTATAAGATTACTATTATTTATTACTTTAATGAAGTTGATTATTTACTTACTTTGCTATTGTTTTTTGTGTTTTTTGTAGAGTTTTTGTTTGGTTTTTTGAGGTGCTAAATTGAGCGTGATGAGTGCTTCCCCACTGAGCCACACTCCCAGGACCATTACTGAGTGGTTGGTTCTTTTAGAAACTTCTACATATAGTCCTTTTGACCTATCGACAATTCAGAGTTGAAATTTGATAGCACACTCAGTTGTCAAAACTTTTATATATCTAGTGTATTTTGCTCAGGTAATGTGAAAATGGGTAAAAGAACGCTTGTGCTAATTATCAGCAGACAGGAAGCAGCGTTGTAATTAGATGATTGACAAGGCTGTGTGTTGAGTATGATAGTTCAGTCAGCCTCTGCGGCTGGCACTGCTTTTCTATGCAGAATGTTTGCTTTCTCACTGAACTGCCTGGAGATACAACAGCAGCTTCTATCAGCACAGTGGCTGAACTGATTTTCTGTGCTCTCCACCTGTACTTCAGAACAATCCCAGCTCTGGCTTATCTAATCATCAGTCATCTCCATTCCCCTTGGTCTTGTACCTAAGTTTTCTTAAGGTCTTCCATGCCTCCCCTATCATCTCCCATGGAAGCTGAAGTTCAGACTCTTATCTGTATCTTGCAGCAGTGTCTTCACTGGCCTCATCACTCATTTAACTCCATTCTCTGTCTTCACTATTACTAGAAATGGTTCTCTAGAATACATCTGAATGGATGAACTCCCTGTTAAAAGCCTCAAGTGGCTAACTTTA